CAGTGTGCAATCATACCGATTCACAGCATATGTTGCACATGTTGCACATATGCAATGCATGTAATGCATGTAATGCATGCAAGCCACTGCAAAGAAAGAGGTGCTGCCAGGAGATCTGGATTGGGATTGACACCAGGTCCTTGGAACCAGCGGAGAGCCTCGCAGCTCTATGGCCATGCGGAGTATCCACCTTCACCTTGAAGAAAGTCTCCGCTGTGCAGGCATCCTGCAGCTGAAGCTTTCCCTCATCCACGCAGAGTTGCCTGTTATCGATCTTGCCGTCGGTGGACTCCGCCAGGGATGGGCTGAGGCCCAGCGACACAGGCTCAAGATGCTGAAGAGGAGTCCGCTGATCCTCAATTCCTTCGAATGCTTCGACTTCGTATTTTCTCATGCGCATGCGGCTGAAGGTGGCAGCACCGGCCCACGTTGACAGCAGGCGCGGGCAGTGCTCGAAAAGCCAACAGCGGCCCCAGCCGAGCGTGCGGGGATCCGCCTGAGCAGGTAGACAGCAGTGGTTCAGCAGTGCTTCAGCTACCTTCCTCTCATCATTTTGCAGCAGCGAAGCACGCTTCGCTTTTGTCTCTTTTCCAGTTTTGGCCTGGTGCCGGACCACTGCAGTGTCAATGAAGGAAGCATAGTTGCAGGGCGGCAATTCCTGGGATGGACTCTGGATACTGCCACTGTGGCCATGAGAGAGATTAAGTGCTTTTGAGGTGCATCACAGCGCCGCAGACACAGCCGCAAGCTTGTCTGCAAGATTTGGTGGCTTGTCTGACAGTGTCCGAGGCCCACCAGCGTCCAAGGTGCTTCCGAGTCCATCGCCGCTCGCCCATTCGCTCATGCATAGATCCATTTGCAACAGCCAACTCGGGACATGTTCTCAAAGCTTCCCTCGGGCCTCGAGTTGGGGATGGCTTACGGACAATTTGCGAGATTTTGCGAGGTGCTGTGCCAAGGCCTTCTGCAAAAGAATCTCAGTTTTTGGCCTGCTGTAAGTGTCTCAAGGTCCTAAATACACCGCGATGCTTTGCATTGACCGGTGTGGCTGTACACCTCGAGACAAAAACGTCATCTGATTCATGTACATTCATGTTCATTTTGCACAATGGCTCCGGGTCCAGATGAGAGCCACACATGGCTTTCTCTCTCCAGTCTATGGCAAACTCAATGCCCTTGGTATTATCTGCAAGGCCGTGTGGCAGAGGTTTCTCAGCAAACTACAAGTATACACAAAAGCCTGGCAAGGCGCAGCCATGCGCAGCCCTTGTGCCGCTCGTGCCCTGCATGCGTGCCTCGTGAGCCTAGAAATGCTCCTGAAAGGAACGGGGTTTTGAACGTCTCGCGGTGGCTCGCAAAGCGGAAAGGTCCTTGAAGAACGAGAAGCGGGTCTGACACCTCAGACCAGAAGCTGAGCATTGAAAAAGAGAAACGTTGAAACGAGGCAGGTGACCTTCTTCTCAAAACACAAGCTGAGCAGCGGAGCTTTTGCAGCCCGAGTCTGCCCTTCTCTGCTTGAGGCCGCAGCGTATGCTCTGGCGGGTCGCTGTGCTTGGCACCTCGGAACACGCGTCTGACATGCACACACGGGCTTCTCACGAGCGATCTCTTTCTACGATTTACCCTCTTCTTTCCTGTGTTCTGCGAACGCTGTTCACTCCCTGCTTGTCAACCAGTCAGAGCGGCTTTGACGCGCTAACTCTTCTCCGATGACGGGCGAACCGCAGAGGAAAACTCCCAAATGCTCGCCAGCATGCTGAGCCTGAGGACTTCACGGCTTCACACACGCAAGACAACGGACACGCTTCTTGTTCCTTTCTTGCCTTGCAGCCCTTGAAGATTCGGCCCCAATTTGGGCGCCCGAAGTACTGGTGATGCACACCTCGAGAATCCGTGCATTGCTGGAGGCCGCGGTGTGGGGGGGTGTGAGTGGGGACCTCTCAGTGCGGGACATTTGAGAGCCTTCACCGCTGAAAGCTCCACCTGGACACTGAGTCACTGCGCGAGCAAGACCTGTTTTTTTCCGTGTTTAGAGCCTCTCCCGTGGTGAAAAGGTTCACCTCGATCCGGTCCTGCAAAAGCACACAGCACATCCCATGCAGTTGCCTTCCTGTTACAGGATGCAGCCTTGGCAGGACCCTCAATGGCCGTGGCCAACAGGTCATAGAACCAGTCCAACTCCTCTTTGAGAAAGCATGCTTCTGATCATGCTGCCCTAACTCGTCGCCCACCTGCTGGTTCCGCACGATCCAATAAAAGTGGATGTACTTGGGAACTGGGATGACCTTGTAAGGACATTTCACATCTATGTTACCGGGGAGCCCAGAATGGCTGCCCGCAAGCCAACTGCGTCCCAGTAACATCATTCACAAGCTGGTCAATGATGTCATCTCCCATCTTGGCCTCTGTTCCGTGTCCCAGACGCCTACCGTACCGAATATGAAGCTCAATCCGTTTTCCCAACATCTTTATATCCCAAACCAACTTCCTCTTAAGAAGCTGCCCAGCCATGTTAAACAACGAACGACATGGGAATCCATTGTCATTGAAAATGGCAGTTATACCAACATCGAACCCAAACAGACAAAGTATATGTGCCATGAGCACTGGGGGGTTTCGCCCTCCCACCCCGGAGGCATGTCAATTTATACCCCAGCTCGAGGATTCTGATGGGTCAGGCCCCAAAATTTATGCAGATAAACTCTTGGGGCATGATCCCACAACGGAGGATAATTTGTCGGGCTTGAATTTTGTGATGTTCTCTGGCCCAGCTGACTATGACGAAGTATTGCTACTTCCACAGTGCGCAGGATGAACTTCGGGAGCCCGCATGGCCCGCATGTCTCAGGATCAAGAGTCTAATCTAGCCAGCAACATTTTGAGGCATGCGCGACCCCTATTCTGATGCAAATTTCATGTGTGAGGTAACATGGTTTCGGGGTCTCAGCTGCATGATTTCCACGGGATTGAGGACCCAATTTAGGCCCTTTAGAGGCCGAAGTATACCATCTGACAGGTTTTCCAAACCATGCAGATGAAGCTGAGCAAAATTACATCAAAAGGTTTGGGGCAAGCTCTCTTCAACTGAAGATCAGCATGAACAACAATGGTAGCGGGCTCATAGCGCTTCAGTGCGGGGCGCCCCTGGTGCCCGGTAGTGGTAGCATCACCGACAGAACAGGAGCTGCGCCCAAACCCTATGACCTAAGCTGCGCCCCAGGAGTCTGCGACGCGCCAGCCGGAAATCTTCAAGATTTTCCTAAGTCTTGGGAGCGCATGGTGGCTGTAAAAAAGCTGGGCCCTAACCATTTGATCAACACAAGAAGGATGAATTGGTGAGACTCTTCCACAATTGTGATCCCGTTACAGGTCAAGCAAGAACAACCGACTATTGGTTGCAGTTGCCAGGTTATTGGGTGAGAATGATGCATACCACACGGACTGGTTTGTCCAGCTCGATGCTGCACCACCATAAGTGCCACGCGTGCTCAAATTTCTACGGTTGTGCTGTTCACCGTAGCCTGCTTGTAAAACCTGTAGAGCAGTAACAGCAGCGTGATATACAGCCTTGTTACATGAACTGTACATGGACTGATAGCAAAGCAACAGGACTGGACTGCCATAGTTATTTCAATCAGGCACAAATTTACTTTCATGTTACTGGTGTGTC